TAGTAGAAAAATCATTGATAGTAATAATATTTTATTATGTAATATAATTTTTGATAATTATTTAAAATATTAAAAATTGAATTTATAAAAATATTTTAATTCACAATTACAAAAATAGCCTTTTACTTAATATTCTTAAAAGAATGTTAGCAACTATTATAATACTTTTTATAATATAAACACAAAAAATTATTATTTTTTACAAATAGAAAATTAAGAATTGAAAAGAAAATATATTCACAATGCAGAACCTCCTCCGCAGAAATCTGAGTGACAGAGTCTTCTTCCACACGTTGTCGCGGTGGAAAAAAATGTCGCAATTGGACAGAGTAATGGAAGAGGGAGGAATAAGAGGGATGGTGGTACTGGTGGTATGTGAGGGAGAGAGCAAAAGCAAGAAAGTGAGGGAAAAAAGAGAAAACATGGAACAAATTAAGGAAGGACAGAGGACAAAAAGGAATGCCTCCATTGATGGTAGCTAGAAATCATCACAGCGAGACTTCATGCAAGTTTTCGTCATTTTTTTTGGAATTTTCTGTTTTTTTATTCCCTCCTTTCAGTTTCTTCTTTGTTTGAATTATTGATGTTTATTATTATTATTATTATTATTTTTAATCTAAATCATCATCACAAACCTACCACTACAACTAAGGTTTGACTCTAGACTCTGGTTTGATTTGTGTTCCTTAGGAAAATAAGTTAAAAACAGACCTTTGACTTGGGAGGAACCTCAATTTGGAGAGAATCTCAACTTTTTTTATAAAAAAAACCTGTTTGTTCCATTATCTCACCAACAAAGAACTATGAGTGGGGGGGAGAGATCCATGATCGCGTCAAGGAAAAAATTGTTGTGAAGGTATATTAAAAGTTTACTAAACTAATATATATATATATATATACACATATATATATTTGTGGAGAAAAGATAAATATTAAAAGTGTTGAATAATGTGTATAAAAAATTCACACGTTTTTCATAATAAAGTAGTAACACTAATCAAATAAAGTACATAGAGTAGTCAGATGGAACATTAGGATTAGTTCGTCTCAACTACCAAAACTACGTTTAATTCTCAATTTAACCAGATTGAGTTTTACTATCTTTAAACAAAGATACAAATATTCTTTCAACAAGTCACTTCTGGTTTAACCCTATATATTATTTGATTTGCCTTTTTAAACAACTAGTTAAGTATTCTTTTAATAAGTCTCTCCATATTTAACAATCAAGTATTTTTTTAGAGCCTTTCTAGGTTCAAAACAAATATTCTTTTTCCAGCAAACCTTTCTAGGCTTAAAATAAGTGTTCTTTTTCAAATAAGTCTCTTTAATCTCAAATATATATTCTTTTTCAAACAAGTCTCTTAAGGATAAACATTATAACAATGGTTATGAAGATTATGTGACTGTTGTGTTAGTCTCACTTAGACATTATACAATCAATACAAAGCAATGAGTGTTTACAAGAAAGAATAAATATATAAAGAGAGCTTTTGTACAAATGTATATGTATCACTTAAAATTGGTGTCTCGTGTAAATTTTGTATTTTTTTTTCTTTTTTGAACTTTAAATCTTCTTATGTAGTCTCAATAAATAATAAATATTTAATATATGTGAAATAAATTATATGATTTAATTGATTTATAACATTTTATGAATGATGTATGTCATACATTTCATCTAATAAACTTTTTAAGATTATTTTCAAAAATATTTTTGAAGATATTTCTTATTTATAAAAAATGTTTTATTTGTTAATATTAAAATTCTGAATGTAAAGGATGTACATCATCTTTTAATTTAATATATATCTAATGGTAATAAAAGGTGACTGCATTCACGGGGCACCTATTTTGAATGGATCACCTATTTTACTACTTCACTTATACATCATCGTGAATTCATTCACCAAATTTTTCTTCTCACTGATTAAATATATATGTTGCCATTTTCATATATCACATGCAAACTTAAAACCTGCGTCACTGCAAGTGTTACAGTGTGAAAATCAACATTCACATATGCAGAGAGAAGACATAGGCAAATATGAAAATATTAGGGACCACCTAACAAAGCCCACTCATATAATTTGTAACTCATTGATTCTAAAATCCAGCTAACATGAAAGCTTATTTGATCGGAGATGGAACAAAAATTACAGTGGTCGAAATGACCATTTTGAACCCTAAACTCAATAATTCCAATCGATGATCAGGCCTATTAAAAAAGAGGTGTCATACCGAACTCTATCGAAATTAGGTATGTAATAAAAAAATGTACAATTTTTTATTATAAAAATATTAAAGAAAAGAGAGTGAAAAGAAGAAAAATAAATATAAAAAAATATGAGATGATTGTTTATTTGTTTGGTAGAGAGAAAAAAAAAGGATAATTTTTGAAAAACATCAATGATCTTAATAAAAAACGAAATATAATAATTTTGTGTGTATGTGATATAATCATAATTATAAAACTCAAACCGAATCGATCGGTTTAACTGGAACCTGGACCTCCAATCGGTCCAAGCATACTTTTAGATTAAAAATGTTGTTAGCCTGTTTACACTTCAGTAACCCTAGTTAAACCATTAGTTTTTATTTAAAATTTACACTGTTCAATTTTGATATATACTTCCTCTCGATGCCTAATGCATCTTTCTACCACAACACTGTCCATTTGTCCATGTGATAAGACATATATGACTTGTACTTAGACCTTCTGAAAATATGAATAAAATGTTAAAAAATTATTTATGAATTTCGAACCCTATAAATAAGGAAACTCCATTACCACTAAGTTGTCATTCTCTTTTATTTTATACATAATGTAAATATTTTTTTTTATATAAATCTTATTAATTAAATATTTAATATACTAATTAATTTATGCATCCCAATGTTGACTATATTTTGGATAAAGGTAATTTTTTTAATTGTGAATGTAAATATTTAATCACTTTAGGACTACTACATCAACATATTTTATTATTATACAATTAATTTAAATAATTTATATAGTATATTTTAATTTAAAATTATATATTAATTCATGTAATTTAATTAGTTTATAATTTGGTTACTTATATTAACTATAATTTTTTAAAAAGTTTCTTTAAGACATAATATGATTTTTTTATTAAAATTTATATGTATGAAATATATAACATGGATATTTTTTAAAATATTTAGTAGAGACCAGGTTATGCAGTTCAATTAGTGATCAATTAATTTGACTTCTAACCCACTAACCTAGTACCTCGACTAGTTTGATAATGAGTTCAATTTTTTAAATATTAAATTTAATTATTAAAGATAGAGGAGAAGAAGAAAAAGAAGCGACTTTGCATACCCCTAGCTTGAGGTTTTCGACCTGGAGCTCGGATTCTTCACCACCTCCTAGAATCAATTGAAAAAATGGTAGAAAATGAAGGGTTCAAGTGAAAATGAAGAAGAAAGAAAGAAAGAAAGAAAGAAATAAGGAAAGAAAGAAGAAAGAATTATCTCTCTAGGGTTCTTAATGATGAGTTTGCTTTTGAAAAATCTTCCTTTTATACTTTTTTCTGAGCCAGCTTCACTTATCTCTTATCCAACTCTCCAGAGATCAACACAACACGTTCTTAGAGTCTCTCAACCCCAAAGCCCCTAACAACAACTATTAAATCAAATAACAAGTAATGGGATGACAGTGTTATATATAGATCATATTTATGGACTAAAATAGAAAACATAATTTAAAATAAATTATTGTTTATACAAAAATATTCTTATTAGACACCTATAAGAAAAAGAAAAAAAAAAAAAGTTATAAATATGATAGATGATATGATTTAATAAAAATTAAAAATAATAAATAATAAATATTACTAGGAGTATAAAATTACTGTATATCCAAATATTATAGTTCTATTTTGATAATAATAAAAAATTAGAAATAATTTTAAGAGAGAAAAATAGAAAAAAAAACTAAAATTATCTTTAATATAACCTTAAATTAGTTTAAGAATAGGTTGATTTATAGTAATCTTTTTCATTAAATTTTTAAAATTTGATTTTAAATTCATGCATAAATTAATTTTAATTTATAAAAATTTGTGATCCCATTCCAGGTAATCAATATATTTGTGATCTGAATCCAGGTAATGAATAACAAGTCTAATGCGTTAAAACCGAAATGTGAGGGCAACAGTTCAACTCAACGCGTATTTATTTATATTATTTTACAGTACTTGCAAATTGACTCTACTATTCTTTATGATCATTACAGTACTGCCAATAATTGGTTAAAGACTTTTCCTAGCAAACGACAAACTATAACCATTTCAATATGATTTAATGGCCACCACTATCCCGGAGACAGAATTTTCACCTCTACACATGCAACTACGTAATTGGCTAAAATCTTCTCAAGTCAATGGAAACTCTTGCATTTCATATCAATAATTAAACTTTACAGTACTAAATCACTTTTATTTATATCAATAATTCATGACCAATATCTAACCACGTTATCACATAGCTTTTCATTATTTTGTTAATAGTTGATGGGTTGGCTAATGGCTATCATATTCATACGTACTTATTTTGATTAGATGAAATGAAGGGAAGAGAATGAAAAGAGGGAGATTTTTATAATTTTTTTATTCAGTTTAATTTTTAGGAGTGGAGAGAAGGAAAATGTAGGAGAGTAAAAATAATGTCTAAATTATATTTATTTGTATTTTTAAATTTTAAATTATAAGAGTATAAAAAATTTATTTTTAAAAATTTATTCTCTAATTAAAAAAAAAATTATCACCTTTTTCTTCCATTAAATTTCTATCTTCATTTCATTTTAATCGAACAAAATTTCTAATCCATTTCATCAAACACATTAATATATATATATATGAATAATAAATTTAATAATATATCATGATTGAATTTAAAAATCAAAATAATACATTACCAAAATCCATACATGATACAATTTTAATGGATTAAATTGGGTTTAAACACAAAATAAAATCAAAATCATCAAAATAATTTAATTTGCAGATTAACCTGAACATCCCTGCATTACAGCAGGTTCTAATTATGGGCTTTGTGGTTATGATTGCAGGTGATAATTGACCAAGAAAATGAGGTACGAGGAAGGAGCCGAGGAAGTAACTTGGGAAACAAACCAAATAAATACGTACCTTAAGGCTTTGGACATGATGAGAGGGACCACAACATGCTCAAGAATAAATTGTAAGCTCTTGAACAGGATTTCAATGACTAGTTGGTAAAGTCCACAAAACTACAGAAATTGGAGGATTTAATTTGTCAGTTTGAAGGCAATATATGAATATAAAATGAGTTTCATCTATTCTCCTTCATTGAAAATGTTAGGCATCCACGGTTGTCTAAGAAAACACACCATAAAACCCGTGAGCATGACAGTGCAACTATTCTGTAAGTTGGAATACAGGAAGGTCAAGTAGGACAAAGGTTATCACAACAACTAAATATATATAAGTTGCAGCAGCTGGGGCATAACATTAATGATCAGGACCAGAATTATACACTCATTGCTGCAATATCTGTTGATGAGTAAGCTTCTAATCACCATCAAGATCTTTAATCTTTATTACTTATATACAGTGCATATGCCAAATAATGTAATTGATCTAGACACGGGTGCATGGGGGTGTTGTGGTTTGGGTATGTGGATTTCTTTCTTCCATGTTTTCGGGGGGTTTAATGGTCACTTACACAAGTCACTATCAACTAGTAGAAATTAAAGTACCAAATTAAGCCTATCAACATTAAACTGACTCTTGATTTTTCTTCCAGGATATTACCTCGAGCTCTTTTGATTGAAGAATTAGTTTTTTGTCTTATGGAGATGTCATCCATCAGAGGGTTACCTGATCTGGTACGAATTAAGATATATAGCTTTTCTTGTGAATAGGTGTTTGGGTAAATTAATTTATGCTGTGTGTAACTTGATAGTGGTTTAGTCTAGTGGGTCGTTTATTACATTGAAAATGAAAATCTAATTTGAAACCATTTAATTAACACATGGTGAGTTAAAATCAGGCATTTTTGGTTGATGAAATACATATGAACATTTTCTGAATAAAAAATTTTACGGTTTGTGTGATGTTTTCTGATTTAGAAGGAGCAGGAAATGGTTGAGGACCCTACCTTTCAACACCAGTGGCACTTGTGTTCTATTGATGACCTTATTATACATAATGATTTTGGTGAGACTGTACAACATAATGCATTTACTTACCCAAATTTCAACTCCAAAACTTCCATGGAAACTGCACTTGTTGACTTTGAAAGACCCACAAAACATCACCAAAACATGAGCTGGAATCCCAGCAAAAATGCTCAAACATCAGAGACAGAGTTTGTTTCTTTCCCAAATCCTTTTTCATTTGTGGGTTCCAATGTCATAAGTCCATTGGGATTAGTGAAGGCCATGGATGAGATGGATTGTCCTATAACCATTAGTAGCACAACTCCTCTAGAAAGTACCTCTCAAGGAACCTTGAGCCAAAAGATTGGCACACGTTCTAAACTTACTCATCCTCAAGATCACATAATAGCTGAAAGGAAACGGCGAGAGAAGCTCAGCCAGCAGTTCATTGCTTTATCTTCCCTTGTTCCCGGACTACAGAAGGTATAAAAGATTATCAATGTGAATTTTGACTTCATCGTATATGTTTAACACACTGGAGTATTATTCCTTCGAATTATGTGACTGGTTTCATTTTAGTTCTCCTTGTTGTATAGTATAAGCTAATATTTATAGAAATTCTCTCTTGTAACTTTTCTAGATGCTTATTTTAACTTGTGCAAAGACTAACTGAATGTGAATCGTGATAGATATATCAATTTTTTAAAACTAGTAGATATACTTGCGTTATTAATTTATATCCATCCTGCATGTGCTTCTAAGTTCTAACACATACATTGGTCTCATTTTTCAATGTGCTACTAACAGACGGACAAAGCTTCTGTTCTTGCGGATGCTATCAAATACTTGAAGCAATTGCAAGAGAAAGTGAGGGCTCTTGAGGAGGAACAAAACATGAAGAAAAATGTGGAGTCTGTGGTAATTGTGAAGAAATCTCAACTATCCAATGATGTAAACAACAATTCTTTAGAATATCATGGTCAATTTGACGAGGCACTGCCTGAAATTGAAGCAAGATTTTGTGAGAGAAATGTCCTCATACGAGTTCATTGTGGGAAGAGCAAAGGAGTCGTAGAAAAAACAATCCAGGAAATTGAGAAACTCCATCTGACAGTGACCAATAGCAGTGCCATGATATTTGGGAGATGTTCCCTTGATTTAACAATTATTGCTCAGGTAATTTTCTTGCATATTATATTGGCTGAAAACTAAAAACTATAAAAATAATGGAATTAATCAAGTTCCATGTACATATAGCAGTAATTAACATCCGAAGTAAGGATGAAATTTTTGTTTTAACAATACAGTATAGGTATAAATGACTTGCCATACACACGTTATATTTTGACCAAGTTGAGGAAAAAACACGTGTTTAAATGCTATCAATGCATCAGTTTTCATAATTATTTCCGCTAACTGTATTTTTCTTTCAATATGGGAAATATTCTGAAATTTACAGATGGATATGGAATTTTGCATGGGAGTGAAGGATCTTGTGAGAAACCTACACTCAGCTTTTACATCTTTCATGTGAGGACGTTCTGTTAGTTGATAATAAACCGACTTCAAAAGCATAAGAAGAATAGAAGTCACGGTCACAACAGTTTAAAGTTTAAGTTCTTCGGTAATATTTGTTCTTACATGGCTTTGTGTGATGTCTGTCATCTCATCTACTCCAACCATGTTCTTCTTTTTGCATGGTTTACTCCTTGACCATGTTATTGCCACCCAATTATTTCAGTTTCAACAGTTACTACACAACTGGTTATTAGGCAGTTTTTGGCAGGAGGTTGAAAAGTTCAACCGGTCTGTTTTATGTCCTTTTCTTACGTAAATCTATTATTTCTTACGAGGTTATAAGTTGAAAGTCGAAACCTCTTGAAGTTCTTGCTCTTGTACCAAAGTATACATATATATATATATATACTCCATAATTGTATATATACTTCATGAAAGTTTGGTTGAAATAAAGTGGAATAATTGTATCTTTACAACACGTGTATAATTTGCCTGCCATATACGTGAATTCATGATGGACTCTACGATATGTAAAAATAATGCTATTTATGCCATTTTACGATATGTAACTGAAATGATAGAGAGTTAAGGACTTAAGATTGATCTCTAACAAGCAGGCTCTATTACGCTTTCCGATTTGATCATTTAACTACATATAAATGTGCGTTTTATGGATGCGCGCTGCTTGTAAAAGTTATATATAATTCAATCAGGGCCGGCCTTTATATATATATATATA